GTGTGTGTGTGTGTGTGTGTGTGTGTGTGTTTTTGGGTGGGGGGGGGTTGCTGTTGCTACTGACTTTTCCACGAATCCACAAACACAGCAGTGAAGCTATCTTCAAGGAAACCATGCCACATTTTACATCAGTATGTGTGCTGTGTTCTGAAGTTTAATGTCCAGCAGCAAAACCAGCCACCCTGACAGCTCCTCTAAAAGAGTAAATATGTAAGGTACATGACAGAATTGGGTGGGAAGTGGGTGGGAGTAAGGCAGAGTGAAGGGTAGGCAGGGGCAGATAAATGAGGGGGCAGGGTGTCAGGAATGAATGCAGAAGCTAGTTCAGAGAGAAGGGTTTGATGGGTGGTGAAGTGAAATTGAGATTGATGAGGGTGGGAGAGGTGTGCATACGGGTGTCAGGACCGCCTTGGGGATGTCAGGTCTGGAAGGGGTTATGGTTGGGGTTGGGTCCAGTAGGGTACAGGACTGGTGAGGTGGGCTGTCAGTCCAGCAAGGAGTGAGGTGTGGGTCTAGTTGGGGAGGGTGGGTGTTGGATTGGGTTCGCAGACACTGAGTAATGATGGGTCTGCGGGTAGTGCTTGTGGACCCTGTCAAGGAATTGTGTCAGGACAGCTGGGGAGATTGTGTGTCAGACGCAGTGAGGGGTTGGAGGTCTGTGAGTATCAGGGGTGGGGGTAGAGGCTGTAGTTGGGGAATTTCAGCGGTGAGTCAGGGATTCAGTTTAATAGTTACCCAATGGTTTGAGTATATTTTTAATTCTCTAACATTCCCTAGGTAACTATCATTCTTAAGCAAGCCAGAACTCTCTTAAATCTCTGATTTCAAAGGACTTTCTCAAAGGGTTCCATACATAGGGGAATTACCATAAAGAAAAAGAACATAGAACACAGAACAGTACAGCACAGTACAGGCCCTTTGTCCCAAGATGTTGTGCCGACCTATTATCCTACTCTAAGATCAAACTACCCGGCATACTTTACATTTTACTGTCATCTATGTGCCTATCCAAGAGTTGCTTAAATGTTTCTAATGTATCTGACTCCAGTACCACCGCTGGCAGCGGCATTCCACGTACCTACCACTCTCTGTGTGAAGAACCTACCTCTGACATCTCCCCTATACCTTCCTCCAATCACCTTAAAATTATGCCCACTCGTAATAGTCACTTCCACCCTGGGAAAAAGTCTCTGGCTATCCACTCTATCTATCCCTCTCATCATCTTGTACACCTCTATCAAGTCACCTCTCATCCTTCTTCGCTCCAATGAGAAAAGCCTCCCTCAACCTTTCCTCATAAGACCTGCCCTCCAGTCCAGGCAGCATCCTGGTAAATCTCATCTGCACCCTCTCTAAAGCTTCCACATCCTTCCTATAATGAGGTGAACAGAATGAACACAATGTTCCAAGTGTGGTCTAACCAGAGTTTTATAGAGCTGCAGCATAACCTCGCGGCTCTTAAACTCAATTCCCCTGCCAATGAAAGCCATCACACCGTACGCCTTCTTTACAACCCTATCAACTTGGGTAGCAACTTTGAGGGATCTATGGACATGGACCTCAAGATCCCTCTGTTCCTCCACACTGCCAAGAATCCTGCCATTAACCCTGTATTCTGCGTTCAAATTCGAACTTCCAAAATGAATCACTTCACATTTTTCCGGGATGAATTCCATCTGCCACTTCTTTGCCCAGCTTCAGCATTCTGGGCAATTCCCACAGAGTCAGCTGTGTCTGGGACTCCACAGGGTGACAACGCCTGACTCCAGACTCCACTGCTGCCATGATGCTCTGGCCATTGGAATATCCAGCTCAATGTCTTTTTCAATACATCAGTATGGAAAGCAAGGAGAAACCCTTTACATGATGGACCTCATATAACAGCAGCGTTTATAAAGGGAATTCTATCAAAACTGAAGTTACAGCAAAGAGAAAAGGAATTGGATTTTGTGGGAGTGTGTGGTCAATTAACTGCTTTTTTTTCTTGTATCAAAAATACTGGTCAAAACTGCTGGTCACCAGCAGTTCATGTTGAGTATGGCCTGCATGATGGATTGATGAATGCAAACAGGAAAGGCCAATGAAATGGTATTTGCTGGCAGCAAAACTGCCCTCTGAGAAAGCGTACAGGCCATGAAATTGTAGACTGGACCCTGTGATCAATGCTACCAGCTGAGACAGGGTTAATTGCAGACAACCTCATTATACTCTGACAAGGGAAAGGACAAATTACCCAGTGTTCTCATTCTTGAGCACAATCCAACAATCCTGTTGGAAATACTTTTATGCAGACTCGATAAACACAAAATCAGATTTGGCTGAAATGACCATAAACTAAGCTGAAATAACTCCAGGTTGATTATGAAGATTGCAAGCATGAAGCATTCCCTTGGAATTGAAATGTACTGTAGGCCAGCACTTTCAGGAAAGGATGGAGGAGACGAGGGAGAACTGAACCTTTGGACCAAATCCAATCAGAATCTCTGAAACCGAAAGGTACTATAAAGTAGGTCTTTAGGCCATTACTATCCAAGTTTCTTATGACACAGCCATTCCTTTTAGCACTGCACATACATACATGTAATCACACACATTTTCTTTTCCTCTGTTCCACATGAGGATTGTGTTACCTCTGTCTTTCCTGAAGCATCATCCACCATGTTATGTTTTGCAGCCATCTGAGGAGAGGTATGCAGTTTTGAAGCATCAAATTCAACTTGCTTGATTTTTGCAATTCTCTCAGTGACATATACTTTTCCAAATCCTTCGCTTTGACCTTTGTCTTTCCAATTCTTAAAGAACTGCTTGAAGATTGGGGTTTCTCCTCCTTCAGGAAGAACTTGAATCTATAGTGGAAAGCAAAGCTTTAAAGTCAAGCTGAAGCAGATTAAAATACAGTAATTGCACAGTGTTAGCAGAAGTTGTGCAGGCCCCAATATCTTAGCAGCTTCTCAATATGCCCAATTTTCAATTAGGCATTTTAGTGTTAACTTTTTGATTGTGCTTTAATGACTTCAGAAGTGACTTCTTTTTTTATTTTAACTGGAACCATATTAAATAACAAATTTTTCAAGGCAAGGACTATGGACGAAGTGGTCATATTCAGCATAAGGTAAGCAATTGCAGGATACTTCTAAAAGCCAACTTCTATAAGGTCCAACTTGATTTGAGCAATTTGGCTTATTCCTGTTTCTAAATTCTATGCACCTAATATCATTTATTATTTTCAAACAAACAATGAACACGTTCCAATTACTCCTTTAGTATATTCTGCTAATTATTTAATGAAATACTGTAGTTTCATTTTAAAGTATCTTACCTGGCTATTGGGTGGGTATTTCATTTGTTTTATAAAGTCCTCAGCAGTCTTCATAGCTGTCTTTCTCTCATTTGGGTTCGCCTTTTTACCTAAGCACCAAAAAATTCCATTTGCAAATCAGTAGAATGGAAAGTTATGATTAGTACAGTTCATGTAAGTTTGCATTTATTTTCTTTAGCATTTCAATATTACATTGAGACAAATTTATTATTTAAACCATTTTTATACAGGTTTTATCTTCATGATTGGGCAGCCTTGGGTCTTTGCCAATCTAGAGAACTTTTCAGACCAATGGAAATCAAGTATATTCAATGCACAAACACCTTAACTGTAAAGCTTTCACCTTGATTTGTATCAATCACAACCTAATGGATGATTGAACTGTGCTAGTCTTTTGAAACAAGGTAGTCCTACATTTTGTATATGTACATTATCTTCAAGAGAATTCATTTTTAAGGACTCCTAGTGGAATGTATATACAATGTTGTGACTGTGCTTGGCTGCTAGTCTGCTTTGGGTTTATAATCTGTATATTGAAATTGAATGAATATCATGTCTGTTTCATAAATTGCAACATATTGTCAATCAAGCTTCAAAATCTCCCCTCCTCCTACCGCATCCCAAAACCAGCCCAGCTCGTCCCCTCCTCTCTAACCCGTCCTCCCACCTACCCATTCCTCCCACCTCAAGCCCTACCCCCATCTCCTACCTACTAGCCTCATCCCGCCTCCTTGACCTGTCCGTCCTCCCTGGACTGACCTATCTCCTCCCTAACTCCCTACCTACACTCACCTTTACTGGCTCCAACCCCGCCTCTTTGACCTGTCTGTCTCCTCTCCACCTATCTTCTTCTTTATCCATCTTCTATCCGCCTCCCCCTCTCTCCCTATTTATTTCAGAATCCCCTTCCCCTCCCCCATTTCTGAAGAAGGGTCTAGACCTGAAACATCAGCTTCCCTGCTCCTCTGATGCTGCTTGGCCTGCTGTGTTCATCCAGCTCCACACCTTGTTATCTCTTGTTAATCAATAAGCTGCCTTTTTAAACCACTGCAGTCCTATAATGCCATTAGGAAATGAGTTTCAAGGTTTTGACCTAGCAACAGCGAAAGATGCTGAATGGTGTGGAATGAAACTTGCAGGCTGTTGTGTTTCCATGTATCTGTTGCCCTTGTCCTTTTAGGAGGTAGCAGTCATCAGTTTGGAAGATGGTGTCAGAAAAGCTTTGGTGAGTTGTCTATGGTACACACTGTTGCCACTGCGTGTCAGTGGTGAAGAGATGAATGTTGAAGCTGGTGGATGGTATGCCAATCAAGCATTCTGCTTTGCCCTGGATGCTGTCACATTTCTCACATGTTGTTGGAACTGTACTCACCCAAGCTGGTGGGGAGTATCCCAATACACTCTTGACTTGTGGGGCATTGTGGATGGGGGAGCTGTATGTCAAACAGTTGATCAGTCAACTTTACTTCCTTTGGCACACTTCAACATGAAGGTCCACCAGCACCTTTTCACAGTAACTAAGGATGGGAGCTAATTAATCTCCAAAAAGCAATTATTAGATCATTATCAGTAACATAACAATAATGGAAAACATTGTGTTGTTGAGGCCTATTACGCTCAAACAGTCAGCAAGCAAGTTAGCATTATGGGTGTAAAACCCGATCAACAGTCTTAAATCATGCTAAATTAAAGGATGTAATTCTTTATGTCCTTATTTGTTAAAGCATCAGGGGGTGTTGAACAGGTTGCTGGTCAACAACAAATTCCCTATTGAGAGGCCAATTAAACCCATTGAGAAAGGCAAATGATCAGGGTATGTGCTGGATTCATAGCAAGTAAGAGAAAGTGAAAGATGTATTGTCAGAAAGTACAAGATGTCCAGTTTCTTTCCTTGTTGTTAAATATTTCAGATTTTGCTTAAAATTCTTTATCACAAAGGGCATTATTGAGAAAAGATGTGCATTTCACATGGCACAAGGACCACAGGCACCATTTGGAAACAGTGGAACAGTCACCATCGAAAGCATCAAATTTGCAATTTTACAACCCTATGGAGGCAATTACCCGGGAGTTGATGCCTCACAGAGAGGTCTGAGAGCACATACACTACAAAAAGGCAAACTCTGTGGGTGTCACTCACCACTGATTTCACTTCAATGATACTATGGTGAATGGAAAGGATAGATACATCGGAAGTGCCAGCCCCCAGGTCAAAGATGAGAACATTGTGTTCTCCTCTTTCCTGCTTGTCAGCACAACCTCAGAGTTAAATGGAATGGGGAGTAATACAGTTCTGTTCCAGTTTTCCAACTGCTTCCTGGGCCTGCTGCATCAGGTACAAGATCCCGACAACAAACAGGAACAATAGACAATACCATTGATGACTGTGGGAAATCAAAGTTGTCTCCAGGCAGAATTATCATCACGAGATCTGGGTGTATCAGTAAACTACCTGTGCATTATAGAGATTCATAAGTTCATTCATCATTCTAAAAATAATTACACTTTATTCTGGAAAGAAGGCCATTGTTGTTTGTGTACCTTCTCTTTAAGAAAATTCATCCTTAGAAACATCATGTGATGTATGTACACAATATTGTAACTGCTTGCCAATTTGCTTTGGATTTGCAAGCTGTAAATATATAAATCATAGATAGTAGGAACTGCAGATGCTGGAGAATCCTGCTCCTCTGATGCTGCTTGGCCTGCTGTGTTCATCCAGCTTTACACCTTGTTATCTCAATATATAAATCAGTTGGCTTGCTGTAATGTCTGCTTCATAACTTGTCATCTTGCTGCTTTAAATAAATTAACCCAGAGAGTTAATCATTGCTGATGAATGATAAATTATTAGAAAGTTATCATTTACATAAATGTGACACCACTAAGAAGGCTAAGGACTGATATAATTCTAAATTCTCTCAACTGAATAGAGTTGTCACTTTGAAGAAAATGTTTTTTTCCAAGATCTCTATGACTGTAACACACGTGATAACCCTTCAAAATGCTTGATTGAGAAACCAAACGTGCTAATTGTCTGAAATGCAATGTTTTCCATAGGGATAATATCCATCCATCTCAATCTAAAGAAATTTAGCAAGCTTTTGGCATAAGTCAAGGATTGTTGAATTCTCAGCTGTGCATGTGGTTACAGCAACAATGCAACTCACTAACATTACATGCACTCACCAGCATGTGAAACTGTTGATCAGTTGTCCAAAGATTGTCGTGATGTTATCTTGCAGAAAAGAAACTCAATAAACCTACAAGCAACACCCTGTATCGTCCCACTTCAAGTGAAGGATCCAACTCCCTGTCTTTAATCCCTGAGCCACAGGACAGAGTCAATATCAACATTGCCCTGATTTATTGCAGATTTGTATGGCTCTGTTAACAGTTGATGGAGCTTGGCACAAAGGATCAACTTACTTCAAATTTATCCTTCATCAACAAGCCAGTTTTTAAAAAAAAAGTTTCACCTCAATGACCATGTAAATTTTCCCTCCCCTCCCTCCAGTGGACAGTCAGACGCTGGTTAATAAAGGACTAACAACTCTGGATTTCCTACTAGTTGCACCTCAGAAGCATCATAATGAGCAGTTGAGCTTCTTATAAAACTAGCGAGTGCTAGGAACCAGCTTCCTTCTCATCATGGCAGAACAGCAGACACCATCATTTATTGTAGAGTGAGCTCCACCTACTGGAGACTGGAAGTTTCGGTAACAACCACTCCTCCCTTAACATCCAAAAATTAAGAACCAAACTCTGGATGCACGTTCTCAGACACACACATTCTGGGAAGCAACAGTTGTCATCACCAGTTTAAGCTCCCTCACATATATACATATTAAATTTAGTGCCCTTGTATTTCAGAAGGTGCGGAACAATGTCCATGCATCAGCACCTTAAGTTTACATTGCATTGGCATAAAAATGTCTTGAGCAAAGTGAATGCAAAGACCAGGCTTACAGACCATAATCATATCTGCTGAAGCATTTAATTTGAGGACAACTTTATTCTGAGCTTTTTTTCAATATTCATTCAAGGGAGGTGGACATTAGACATTTCTAGCTAAGCCACCATTTATTGCCCTTCTTTAACTGCACTGGAAAAGGTGGTGATGGGCTGTCTTTTTAAACCACTGTAGCCCTTGTCGTCCAGGAATACTCATAGTGCTATTGGGAAGGGAGTTTCAAGATTTTGACCCAGCTACAGAGAAAGAAATATATTGCCAATCTGAGTCAGATGATGAATGGTTTGGAATGAACCTTGCAGGTTGTGGTGTTTCCATGTATCTGTCAGAGATTCATGGTGAGTTGTGGCGGTGCACCTTGTCATTGGTACACACTGTTGCCACTGTGTGTCAGTGGTGAAGACAGTGAATGTTGAAGGTGGTGGATGGTGTGCCAATCAAGCATGTTGCTTTGCCCTGGATGCTGTCACATTTCTTATATTGGAGTTACACACATCCAGGTCAGTGGGGAGCAATGCTGGCTTATGCCTTATGGATGGTGGAGCTTTATGTCAAACAGTTGATCAGTCAACTTTATTTCCTTTAGAACACTTCAAGATGAAGGTCCACCAAAAACTTCTGAAGGTAAATGAGGATGGGCAATAGATGCTAACCTCCCAGGAATGTCCACATTTCATTGATGAATATTCTTGCTCCTTCTGCTCCTACTGTCTTAAAGTGGCAACAATTGTATCTAACATCATAATTAGCTCGGCAGTTACTATTCCATTTGTAGACAGTAATATTGATTATAAATAATGATCTGATGCCAGAAAGTGCAGGTTTTGCTGGCTCGAGGTGAAGTAAACACGATCCGAATGAGAGCATTAGCTAAAGATTAAAGGATCAAAGACATTTCATGAAAATGTTTCCAAACCAACAACACCAAAAAAGGAAAATTGTCTGATGTGTTTGAGATCGATCCTGTGCACTAGGCTCAAATTTGCAATAACTTGTCAGCACAACCTAGGAAATAACACTTTAAAAATTAGCTCATTGGATGTAAAAGATTTTTGGGGCATACTGAGAATATATTAAAGCTCAATGCATTTGGAAGATTTTTATTTCTTGTTTGTT